AGGCCGCGCACGTTGACGTCACGTCAGCGTCATGTTGTGTGTCTCCGCACGCCTCACCCTGTTCCTTCATATTACTGAAATAGTATAGTGCTGGCTGGCCGCGGTGGTAATTTGGTGCTCTCCCCACTGCTTAACCAACACATGAAAAATAGTCTATCCTACTGCGCTATTTAATACAAAAGACGAGCCTACAAAATCAGGACTGATTATGGTTGGTGTACGGTATAACCCTAGTGAGTGGAACTGAATACAATTCAAGTGTGTTAAAACGTAAATTTGAATGAAATGAAAAATAAAAAGTATAAATACAGGGAGTGCAGAATTATTAGGCAAGTTGTATTTTTGAGGATTAATTTTATTATTGAACAACAACCATGTTCTCAATGAACCCAAAAAACTCATTAATATCAAAGCTGAATATTTTTGGAAGTAGTTTTAGTTTGTTTTTAGTTTTAGCTATGTTAGGGGGATATCTGTGTGTGCAGGTGACTATTACTGTGCATAATTATTAGGCAACTTAACAAAAAACAAATTTATACCCATTTCAATTATTTATTATTACCAGTGAAACCAATATAACATCTCAACATTCACAAATATACATTTCTGACATTCAAAAACAAAACAAAAACAAATCAGTGACCAATATAGCCACCTTTCTTTGCAAGGACACTCAAAAGCCTGCCATCCATGGATTCTGTCAGTGTTTTGATCTGTTCACCATCAACATTGCGTGCAGCAGCAACCACAGCCTCCCAGACACTGTTCAGAGAGGTGTACTGTTTTCCCTCCTTGTAAATCTCACATTTGATGATGGACCACAGGTTCTCAATGGGGTTCAGATCAGGTGAACAAGGAGGCCATGTCATTAGATTTTCTTCTTTTATACCCTTTCTTGCCAGCCACGCTGTGGAGTACTTGGACGCGTGTGATGGAGCATTGTCCTGCATGAAAATCATGTTTTTCTTGAAGGATGCAGACTTCTTCCTGTACCACTGCTTGAAGAAGGTGTCTTCCAGGAACTGGCAGTAGGACTGGGAGTTGAGCTTGACTCCATCCTCAACCCGAAAAGGCCCCACAAGCTCATCTTTGATGATACCAGCCCAAACCAGTACTCCACCTCCACCTTGCTGGCGTCTGAGTCGGACTGGAGCTCTCTGCCCTTTACCAATCCAGCCACGGGCCCATCCATCTGGCCCATCAAGACTCACTCTCATTTCATCAGTCCATAAAACCTTAGAAAAATCAGTCTTGAGATATTTCTTGGCCCAGTCTTGACGTTTCAGCTTGTGTGTCTTGTTCAGTGGTGGTCGTCTTTCAGCCTTTCTTACCTTGGCCATGTCTCTGAGTATTGCACACCTTGTGCTTTTGGGCACTCCAGTGATGTTGCAGCTCTGAAATATGGCCAAACTGGTGGCAAGTGGCATCGTGGCAGCTGCACGCTTGACTTTTCTCAGTTCATGGGCAGTTATTTTGCGCCTTGGTTTTTCCACACGCTTCTTGCGACCCTGTTGACTATTTTGAATGAAACGCTTGATTGTTCGATGATCACGCTTCAGAAGCTTTGCAATTTTAAGAGTGCTGCATCCCTCTGCAAGATATCTCACTATTTTTGACTTTTCTGAGCCTGTCAAGTCCTTCTTTTGACCCATTTTGCCAAAGGAAAGGAAGTTGCCTAATAATTATGCACACCTGATATAGGGTGTTGATGTCATTAGACCACACCCCTTCTCATTACAGAGATGCACATCACCTAATATGCTTAATTGGTAGTATGCTTTCGAGCCTATACAGCTTGGAGTAAGACAACATGCATAAAGAGGATGATGTGGTCAAAATACTCATTTGCCTAATAATTCTGCACTCCCTGTACGTTGTGCCACCGCACAACGTACGAGATGCTATACGAGATGCTATTCCTATAACCTGTAAACGAGGAACACTCAATGGAAAGGGTATAGGTGTCCTACACGAACTGAGTAGAAAACACCACAATCTCCTCTATAGTGTATGGAGGACTAGTAATTCCCTTCACGGAGGGGACCAATAGTTAACTCTAATGTTAAAGTACAGATATGTATGTGTTGTTTCACATAAAGAATGACATAGTTAAGTAAAAACAAAGAGTATCATTAGGGACCATGCCACTAAACAGTACTTTCAGCCGTTAGTGTAAAGATTAGGTAGTCGCTATGATACAAGAAACCCAAATAGAATACCCTCTTATAATTGCCTCTGGTGAATACCAGAGAGTAATTTGTCCAAGATTTAATTATTCACTGTTAATTGCTCTATTTAGTGCTTGTGGTCAGAGAATAAGTAAAGGAACACTATAAATACCAAAACAACTAAAGCTTAATGTAATTGTTCTGGTGTCTACTGCTTCTCCCTGCAAGTTTTTTTAATGTAAACACCACCTTCTCAGATAAAAGTCATTGTTTAAATTACTGCCTAGGGACACCTCCAGTGGCAGTCAGATGGCCACTAGAGGTGCTTCCTGGGTCAGTGCTGCACAGTGTGCAGCACTGGTGTACAGTATCTCAAAGCTCTGCATGGAGACACTGACCGCTCCCCATAGAGATGCATTGAGGCCGGGGCATCAAACAGCTATTTACCCACTATATGTGTTCTTTGAATAACTGCCTATTCTGCTGAATAAATATTATTAAAACCATATTAACCCCAGATTTACACTATGGAGCAGAATTTCTTACCTAGAAGTTGGTAGAAAGCTTCCCTTTGCTCTCTTCCTTTGATGTCCAGGTGCCGGTCGTCTTCCTGTCCTGGGACAATGTCAGCATCTTTTGTCCTTCGTTTGGAAGCTGGTGAAGACCTGTTGTGGGAAAAAAACCAGATGGTCCATAAAGTGTGTCTTTTATTGCTTAAAACCACTTTTTTAAAAATCCATTGTGTCAGTGCAGCTACTGTATGCATATGTACTCTATGCAAATATGGGATTTTAGCAATGACTATTTTTCTATAGGGAAACACTGAGGAGTGATATAATTAATATGGTGTGGTGGGATATGACAGGCCTTAAAGAAACACTATATTGTTATGAAAGACTGTTAGTGGCTTAGTCTCTAGTTACATATAGATTTCCTCCCATTTGCAATAAAAATATATAAACGTGTTATTTATCTTTTTCCAGTGTCCAATCTCCCTTGTGCTGTTCACCTCTTTTAATCCCTCATTGTCTTTGTAGAAACATTGCCTCCTCTGTATAGATCTCATAAGCTGTTGGTGCTTCGCGTGCATCAAAGCTTCCCCATAGGAAAGCATTGTATTAATGCCCTCCTATGGGCTTCCACGTCATGTGACCAAGTTTTATTCAGACAGTATCTCTAGTGACTGTCAGTACAATGCAATGTAAATCATGCAATTTTTCTTGCTCTCTGTCTCCCAAGAGCTAACGTCCAGCAAAATCAGAATGTATTTTATATAATCAAAAGCGTTCAATGTTGAAAATCACATCCTTAAATGCTGACTATAGCATTAGGAACACTGTATTCCTAATGCTGTGTTGTCCCTGTCTCTAACTTAATCGTTCCCCCATCCCTTACAGTCCAGTGAATAACGGGTTAAAACACAATTTTTTCCAACTTACCTCTTTTCAGCGCCATGGTCTCCTCCAGCTACATCACAGCATTGGTGGAACCTAATGCACAGCGATCACCTTTCACACATTAAATATCTCAAAGAAAGCATTGAATCAAAGCGTGAGGACGTCCAATGTCCTTTCACAGAGTAAAACTATGTTAGGGATCAGGAAGCAGCTCTACTGGCTGTTTAGAAGAACTCTGTAGTGTTTTACATTGCAGAGTTAAACCAACAGGGGCAATTCACCCAGACCACTTCAATGAGATGAAGTAGTCTGAGTGCCTATAGTGTCCCTTTAATGTAAGCGGAATAGAAATGTATGTCATATTTTACTTACTGCTTCTCATTGGAAGTGGATCCCGTTAATTCCCCTTCTGGTCGCTTCCTCTTCTGCAGGCAAGAATCCTTCTTCTGCCGCACTTTAGGGAATTGTCTGAAAGATAAACTGGATTTTACATGTTTGTAATGGAATAATATGAGGAATGGCCTTAATTCACCAAACAGATAATTGATGTGAATAATGGCCATTTTTGAAAAACATTGAAAGCTTTGCTATATTAGCAATATTTTGCACCTGATTTTCATTTTGTGACAATTATTATTAGCGATCTGTGAATAACCATCAATGATCTATGCTAAAGTGTGAATTGTCATGAATTTAAAGTTAACTTAAACTGTTGGCACAAAATAGCAAAAGCTGAAACATAGCTGGGTAGGAGATGAACAAGTAGGCCTGACATTTGAAATTCACTTAAACTTTCTGATAATTAAATCCTGCATGAGTGTGGCTTCTGCCAATAATGAAATATCTATATTGAAATTTACCATTTCATCATTGAGAATGTAGTAACCCTTATTTGTTTCATTACTAATATTAAGTATCTACTAAGCATTCCCTAATCTAAGTTTACTTCATAAAATAAATATTCATTAAGATCTGTGTTCACTTACCCAAGGGACATGCCTGTAGCTCCCACTCACACTCAGGCAGTGTAGGAAAAAGGTGAAATACAATACAAGTAAATAATTAATTATTTCCCAATAATATAATAAAATATGTGGTAAGGTAATATTCAGAAATGCTATCTAATATTTAATCTGTATATTTTAAATATTTTACTAAATACAACAACTAAATCAGATTCAATTAAATTAAAATTATATTTCTAGACAATATAAATGTATATAATATAATATAAGATATCACGGAACAGCCAGTGAATCAGCCAACAAGTCTTCCTCCAGAGCTGTCAGCAGTTGAGGATCCTCGTGGTTTGAATGAATACAACTGACATCACCTTGGCATCCCTGCACTGATTGGTTGGATTTATGTGATGTCACCATTCTGAGATAGTTAGAGCTGCTTTATAAGCACAGTGTCAGCTGTTTAAAGCAGGAATCACTAAATATAGGAATTGTTCCCCCGATACAGAGTATCACACATTAACATGTTCCATCAATGTTTCTAAAGGACTATTGAATACGCTTTAAATTAGCTGATATCACCTGCAGGTCTGCTTATTTCAGGGGAGTCAAGATCTTTCCCTGTCAAACCTTGTGCTGGCAGAAGCTGATGGATGGGAAAATAAGATTCATTTTGTATGGGTGCTGGAATAATATATAAAAAGTTGCAGTTATTCACTAAAGTAAGAATTCCTGGGAATTCAAAGTGAATAAAAAATTTCTGCCGAAATATCCAAATGAGAAATCTTCCCATCTCAATTCTGTTTTTAGTTTGGTTATTTTGGTCTTAAATTTGACATTTACTTTGATCTCCATTCTCACTTTAGATGGGTCGTCTTAATCAGGTATTGCTGTTTAATTATAAACAAAGGTGCACATTTTGAGCATTTTTATAAATTTTGTTATCTTTAACTTTGGGTTGTATTATTTAAATCTGTGTAAAACCAGAGATGGTGGAAGGATTTTTGGGTACAGAGGCAAAGATGCATTTTGTCAAGCCCCCGTAAAAAATGGTGTCTTTAGCCGTGTGTCTCTTAACCTCCTTTTAAATGTATTACCCCGCTTCTGTTTTACTTTTCCCTTCTTTTGAATGTCTTACCTCTTTGGTGTATCTTATCCACCTTTTATGTCTTATACCTCCTTTAGCTTATCTTTCTTCCCCCAGCCCCAGAACATTTAGATAGAGGCATCTCAATCGTAGAATTGTTGCAGCGCCCGTCTGGCATAGGTGCGTGGGGTGTGTCATGGTGCTGCCTGTGTTCTTTCAGTGGGCGCCACATGTCTCCCTTCGGGTTGGCTGTATCTGCCACTTGGGTCCTTGCAGACACCGGTCACTGCACGAGAAGCCTTTTAAAGGTTCTGCCTCCGCTGTCATAGTGATGCAAACTTGCATGCAAAATGACCAATGGCTGCACTCTTAAATTTATATAACCTCTGTTTCAGGAGATATAAATAAAGACACTGCCAGGTATTAGTGTATAGCAGCCATGTTTCAGGAGATACAGGAAGGAAGTACACACCCCAACAGGAAACACGTGCAATAGAGACTAAACCATAGGTAATTGCATGTAAACCAAACATAACATCCATAACATCTCCCTCTTTTAGTATTAATAAATCAACATTGTGAAACACTGTCCTTGCATTAACATTCTAGAGGTTAAGTTTCAGGTGGTTGTGAATGTCTGCCACTACGAGTGAAGACTGGTCCAGGTTGTGCAAATAGTCTTTTAGCCCTCTATGAGGTTACTGGACTCTTCCCTCCACTTACTGGCATGCTTTGAACTTGACTGCTGTCAGGTCCTGCTTGCTCAGGGTTGTCATTAGTACTAGTCCGTGGTATCACTTCTGTACACTCTTCACTGCCGATATGTTAGTGTGTCCTTGGAATACCAGGTGTGTCTGGATTGTCAACTGGATATTGAGAATCAGGCTTCTGGGCCACTCGCAAATCCATACGATTACGTCGGTAGAGAGTTCCTTCGATATCCACATGATAAGAGCGTGGTGCAACCTTTTAACCCTAATAACCAAGATCAAAGGTGGATCACGACGTGATAATCTAAGGTTTAAGGGAATCCCTGAAAACATTAAAAATTATAAATTAGTTAAATATGTCATAGATTTTATTTCAATATACTTAGATCCTCAATATCTAATATATCCAACTATAGAACGATTCCAGAGTACAGGGATTCCCAATTAATTGTTTCAGTTGAACCCTTTGACACAGTAGATGCCAATAGATATTTTTATTATCATTTTTAAATATTTTTCTCATAAACTGTTTAATCTTATGATACTCCTGAAGCTTTCCCTTAAAAAAGGCAATATCTTTATCGTTGTACTCTGCGTGGTTTTGCTCCAAATGATGACAAAATTTAGCAGGTGTTAACAAAATGTTTGGCAATATTTACTTGCAAAGTAAGCATTGTGCTTGAGGAACTTTTTTATTTTTGGTAGTTGTAAATCCAAATAATAAGTAGCTGTCATAATTTTTATTTTCTTTGTTTGAGAAGAAGATTCTCAGTGACGAACTGTTAAAAGTAGTAATAATGTTTCTCTTGAAAGTTCCTTGTTTTAACCAGATGTCCAAATTCATGTTTGCTGGTAAAATAAACAAAACACTTCTTGCGCCTTAAAAAAATTCAGATTTCCCTACATGGCTACAATGGATGCTGTTTGTTATAAAGCTCTTACAAAGAACTTTATGTAAGCAGGATGTTTAGTCAGTCTTGGAAAAAAACGATTAGCACACTTGTCTCCTTACATTTTGGGTACAGAAAGGTGGCTTCCCTGGTGTCCAGTGAGAGCTTGCTGGCCCAGACTGATGGGAGTCTGCCATCAGCTTTCTCAGTCCCTCTCCCCCACAATGCTTGCATCCTCCTCCATGTGGTGTGTGCCTCCTGCCCAGCGGCACTGAGGAGGAAGTGATCAGTTCTTACTGGGAGGAAGCAATCTGACCTCACTGCCTCCCAGCATGCCCAGGAAACAAAGAGACTCACAGGGCAGTATGTGAGGGGGCTAGCTGTGAGTATGTAGTCAGCCACCCCCCATATAACAGGGGCCTGGGCCGGTCCAGAGCAGTATTAAAGGGCTGTGGCCCCTGATTACCGCAGGGGGCCCATGGGGCAGCTGCCTTAGGGCCCCCAGGAGTAACTGGGCCCGGGGCAGCTGCCCCTTTTGCCCCTCCTTAAAGACGGCCCTGGAGGGCGGGCTGACATCAGGCATGCATAACGGCAGTCTTGCGATCTCTTAATTAGATCGCGGTGACGTGATCTCTGCTGTTTTTGACCTTCCGGGAAAAGCAGGGAGCGACGTCCATCTTGAATGTGGTTGATAGGAGATGAAAATTCTCACAATATCGTTACCATTTAGAAAGACAAAGAGATGTATTAATTGCACTAATGACTTGTATACATAGAGGGGAAAAAAGAAAAAAGAGAGAGAAAAGGGGGGGGAAGGGAAGAAATAGTATGATAATAATACAGTTTTTGCAATTTTTATATAACTATTTTCCAATATTACAACTCCTATGAATAGTCAAACTATAAATTCACAAGCACAATTAAGAATTAAATGTTTTAACTCAGCTCGCTAGTCTAAGAAATCTACAATACACACATTATGTTCGTTCACTTCTTAACATATATGTGGGAATAGTCAGACTCCTCCTATCTAACACCAGTCTAATGATCTTGACAAGATTGAACATTGACGTACCCCATAACTAAAGAAATGTACTATTGAATTTTTATCCTAATAATCTATTTATACTGAAACCTATAATAGTTTTGAATATTTTATTGTATGCACAATATAAATTCATGCATCAAACTGATTTGTAATTAAGCAAGTGATTGCCCACGCAGGGGCTTAAGCATTGGTTTAACACAGTATATACATTTGGTTGCCTGCGCAGAGGCGGATTTGTCTTAGCCTGTTTAGCTTAACTTTTTTTTTATTCACAGTTGGTTGCTTTGTGGTCTATACTCTTATGTACTGTGTTGCCCTTTTAGTTCGGTTAGAGCGTTAAGTAAGTGTTTTGTGTTAACTGGTGTGTGCAAGTGCTGTGTGTTTGCTGGTTAGTAGATGCAAATTGTGCAGGAACATTATGCTATTTTTGGATGATGTGAAGTTAATCCGCTTGCTAATTAGATGCAGACATTAAGCAATAATCAAAAATACAAAAACTTTTCCAACTTTTAACATAATGAGCATATTTGTTTTTAGGCTGCTGTGCATTAATAATATATAATATGTGTTTGGACCTCGTCGTGTAGTTGTTGTGCTCGGCAGGTCCCAGCGTGTTTTGCGTGTGTTAGACGTTTAGGCTTTCTGTTGTGTCTGTTGGGGTCTGCATGTACTATTAAGCAGTGGCGTACATACCAGGGTCGCAGGGGTCGCGGCTGCGACCGGGCCCGGCCCATCAGGGGGCCCGGCCGCCCCTGCGACCCGGTATGTACCCACAGGGCCAGCCTCTTCACCTGGGGGGCCCAGGAGCCGGCCACCCCAGGGCCCCCCGAGGCTGGGTCGTCCGGCGGGTTGGAGGCCGCGCGCCAGAC